CTCACACTTACTGCACACTCTCCTCTCCCGCCTTCTCTCGCGCAGGTGACGCAGAAAAGAAGAACACGTCCAAGGCTGGAATAAACGAGTAACAGAGACATGCGTCGATTTGTGTCCACCGTGCTGCTTTTTCTCCTTTGGCTCGCCGGTGGCCCCTGCGCCCTCGCGGAGCACCGCTGCATCTTTGACAAGGTCGCCTTGAATTTGTCCCAGCTGCAGACCGCCGTGGTGCAGGAGCTCCCACGGGGAAGAGCAGGCGCATGGCAGGCGTACACCGTGTCCACCCCTGACTGGGCGCCGATCCGGATTAAAGTGTTTGCGGAGGACCTGAAGGACACAAGGAAGTACTGCACGGTGCGGGGAGACGTACGATCGGATTTCACTGGGGGCAGGGTTTTGTGCCGGCGGCAGGATGTTCTCACGAAAGAGAAGATGAGGATTATGGTCAACAGGCTGCTTCCCGAGGCCGTCAAGCTGCACACGGAGCGGCTTTTTGTGCAGCCCGTCAGTGGCGTCTTGAGGTTGCCAAGGTTCAAGCTGGGAGTCTGCGGCGAGTTTACTGTCCCCATCGCGCACCACTTGTCGGGAGTTGTTGGTGCGGACATGTTGCTGTACGCTGCCGCTGCACCCACCATCGGTGGGACTGTCGCGTGGGCCTCCACGTGTGTGACGCTGCAGGACGGACGGCCGGCTGCTGGTGTGTTGAACCTCAGCCCGAGCTTCATTGCCCCCAAGAGAGAAAGCATACGCGTGGTCTCGCACGAGATTGCGCACGCGCTGGGGTTCAACAGTATATTGATGTGGAGGCTGGGGATGATGAGCAGGCGCTCGGATGTCCGCGGCAAGGCAATGACGTTCGTCGTGGACTCCAACGAGACACTGGCGAGGGCGAGGGAGCACTACGGCTGCAGTACCGCCCCCGGCATGGAGCTTGAGGACGAGGGCGGGGAATTTACAGCACACTCTCACTGGGAACGCCGTAACGCGAAGGATGAGCTGATGAGCCCGCTGGTTGGCGCCGGCTTTTACACCGCGTTGACGATGGCGTTTTTTTCAGACATGGGTTTCTATCGTGCAAACTTCAGTATGGCAGAACCCATGGGCTGGGGTTACAAGGCTGGCTGTTCGCTTCTACAGGAGAAGTGCATGCAGAACGGGGTTACGGCACACCCGGAGATGTTCTGCTCCGATATTCTCAAAACCCCAGCCTGCACCTCTGACCGCCGTGCTCTGGGATTCTGCTCGATTGCGGTCCACGACGAAAGGCTTTCTCCCGAGTATCAGTACTTTGTGGAGGAAAACGTTGGTGGCTATCGGAATACTTTTGTGGACTTCTGTCCCATCATTATTCCTTCCGAAATTGGGGGCTGTGCAGATGGAAACTCTTTCTTGATGCCTGGGAGCCGTGTGGGTCCACAATCGTTGTGTCTGAAGGGCAATTCGCTTGAGATGGAATTTCACGGGCGTATTGGTGACATCTGCGCGGAGGTGTCGTGCCAGGCGGGGACTGTCCGTGTTCGGTACCTTGGTAATGATGCGTGGCACTTGTGTCCAGAAGGCGCGTCACTGACCCCAAAGTTGCCGTTCATTGGAGGCCAAATTTTATGCCCAAGGGCCGTTGACGTATGTTCCCAGCTGTCTGATACATCCCCTGGCGAGAGCGCACATGAGGAGAACCAAGATGAAATTGACACCCCCGATAAGAGGGAGGAAAAAGGGATGGATGACACCTCTGCTCCTGCAGAAAAAAAACATGATGATCGCAGGAAACGTGAACCGAGTCTACTTGAGAAAATGTGTCGGCTGCTGGGAATCAACTGTCCTAAGATCAATTGGAGAAAGGTCTGGCCCTTCTTTTCCTCCCGTGGCATGGGGTAATAAAGCAGTTTTCTCTTTACTGCCGTTGCCCCATGGATGCATTCTTGTATATGACCACATCAATACAACAAGTCATTTTGTTGTTGCTGTGAATCACGCCGGCGCCCACAGCCAATTCCTTTTTTTTTCCGACTATTTTTCTGCAATTCGTGCTTTTTTTTTTGCCATGTGCGCTTTTCAGCGTGTGTTTCTGAGCTGTGGAATTAATATTGTTGCATGTTTGAAAGAAATTTGTTTTCATTGTGTGTGTGTGTGGGTCCTTTTTTTTTCTTTCTATGGAAACAACAATGTTTTGCTTTCGACCCTCCCCAGAAAGTATGATTTGTGGTGATTCGATGTGCGAGTGGAAGTAATAATAATAATAATATACATTGAAGGAAAATGTTTTTTTTGTTTGTTGTTGTTTCTTTTATCCTGCTTCCCAGGTATACGAAAAACTCTGACGTAGTGATCGGAATGGCCCCACGGAACCGAGGAAGCACTTATTTATGGACAGAACTGCTTAGCGGAGTCCGGACTACTTGCTGCGATCGCATCCACCGGGAGAAAAGGAGATTTACGTAAAAAAAAAGTTGCTGCTTTACTTTTAACTTTTTTATGCCACATGAAAAATCCAAACGCTTTGCAATATAATGCACCCATTTTTTAACGGTGCGTCACAATACATCCCCGCTGCTGCTGCTGCTGCTGTGCCTTCCCACGTCCTCTCTGCCCACCAGCCCATCACCCCCACCCTCTTCTCTCCCCTCCGACTGCCCCACTAGTCTCCAAGGCATTTCACAGGCAACAACCGAAGCAATGCGCCGCCGCCGCACCATGACTGTCGTGGTCGTCCTCCTCATCCTTCTCTGCGGGGAGGATGTCCGCGCCGACTACTCGGTGCAGTTGGCAACGACGGCACTGTACTATTCGAAGGCAGCGTACTGCAAGGCCGAAGCCATTTCCAGCTGAACTTGTGCCTCCTGCGCCAGGAACCCGGGATTGCAAAGGGTGCGTGTATTTACGAATGCCGAGCACAGCACGCAGGCGTTTGTGGGCGTCAACGAGAGCATGATTGTGGTAAGTTTTCGCGGGACAGCGGATCTTAATAACTGGCTATACGATCTGGATTTTGTTCCTGTTGCGTACATACACGATGGCTGCGTTGGGTGTCTTGTTCACGCCGGCTTCAATTGCGAATTGAAGTCATTGTGGGCGGAGATGTGGGGGTACCTACAGGAACTTGTTGCGGGGAAAGGAATCGAGGGAATTCTCATCACTGGACACAGCCTTGGCGGCGCCATGGCCAATATTGCCGCTGCCAATTTGATGTCGCAGAATTCGTTGTTTCCCAGTGCACTGAAGGTTTTGCTGTACACGTTTGGGCAGCCGCGCGTGGGAAACGAGGCATTCGCCAACTGGTTTCTTGCATCGTTTTGCCGCGACGGCCATGAGTCGTACCGCGTGACGCATAAGCGGGATGTTGTGGCGCACCTTCTCCCCATGTTGTTTGGATTTTACCACGCTCCCAATGAGGTATGGTACGACAATGACGGGGACACGGCGCACAAGAACTGCACTGATATCTTTGGCACACCGTGTTCTGCTTTGACCGCCGATGAGGACCCCAATTGCAGTGGCAGCATCGTTCCCACTTCCATTGAGGACCACCTGAAGTATCTGGGTGTGTGTACACGCTGTTCATGCGATCCCGGGGAAGCAATGAGCGACGAGGAGCTTCGCCTCCCACCCGAACTTGAACGGATTGTTGCAATGGACTACGTTTATCAGCAATCGAGAAATATGAGGCGTTTTCCGTCTTTCCCCGCGCGTCACAGAGAGTCTTGAAGCCCGCAGAAGAAAATAAGTATTCCTTTCCAAAAAATATTTTTTATAATTTGCCAGCGAATAACTTTTATTGGGTTGATATTTTTTTGATTTATTTTTTAAGCGGATTATTCTGGGAGCTTGTGAAGAGAATAATCGCGGGAAAGCTGGCTAACTGCATTAATTTTGAATCCTGATAAAACTAATTTACTTCTTTATGATGCTTTTCTGTCTTATGAACGTTCGAGGAGCACACCTTTAGGGGGAACAGGGAGCCGACAGCGAATAGGCAATTTTATTCTTGTTTTGCCACCCACCCAACCCCCTTTTGATACCCGCCACGCGGCAGGGTCTTGTGCTCGGAGGACCCAAACGTCTGCCACTCCTTAAGTAGTTATCTTTTAGATTCTACCTGAGGACAAAGGACCATGCGAACGGTCAATCGAATTTATTTATTGGATAAAAAGAAAACATTGAGGCAATTAACTAACTCTGCGATAACCCCACTTTTTTTCCCTACCTTGTTTGGTTTACATAGGAAATTTCAGGACCCGGCCAGCCGCCCAGAGGATTATTCTGCGTTGTCTTAAGTGGCACCATTTGTTTGCGCTCCGATGCGGGGGGCGATGGGGATTCCGGAACATCTGCTTTTGGTGGCAGTGTGTACACGTCATTTGAACTTGTGAGATAGTTTTGGAGACCCGCTGCTGTGGTGACGTGAGCGTTTTGTCGTCCAGTTGTGTTTGTGTTTCCCTACGTATCTACCGGCGGAATTGCAGCACGGGGTGTGGGCGTGTCAACCCCGTAGGCCTCAACGGGGAGCACACACACGGACGTACACAGTTTACTTTGTAGACACTGCCTGAGGACGTGATTGCCACGGGGCGGTGCTGGTGGCGCCACACCTACCCACGCCATGTCTGTTATAACTGTTTGTGTGGAGGCTGACAATGGGCACCGCATACTGTTGCTGCCACTCCCATAATCGATGTGTCTTTTATCCCATGCTGCTTTCGTTACTTTTGTAGAAGAACTTTTCACCACTTCCCAGCTCCCAATATCCACAATGCGCTCTTACGCATCTCTCGCCGCGCTTCTCAGAGCATTGAACAAGCACCACTGCCAGGTGCTGCTCTGGACTGCTGTTGTGTTGGTGATGCTGCTTAATTTTGTTTCATTGGCAATAGACACAAATGTGTGGCAGGTTGCCTCCATCCCTGTGCACTGCAGGGACTCTGCACCCTCTCCAACGCGGGAGCCAAGGGTTGCTCTTATTGTTGTTCAGACGGACTACTCTCCCGGCTGGTGCAGGATGCAGGTGAGCTCCATTCTTTCCCGCGCGTCTGTAACAACGATTGGCATGGGGGCAAATTACACACACACATCCCGCCCGTCGTTGCTGCTGGACTGCATAACTGACGAGGGCCTGCGCGATGAGGACGTGGTGGTGGTGTTCGATGGTGGCGACCACGATGTTCACCCGGA